TCAATATAGTCTAATTACATTATTTGCATAAGAGTTTGTGTTTCAAATCCATTCATAGATCATTACAGAGATGATATTTCAAGACAGCCTTCTGTTTAGATTTTGTTAGGCCTTTCTTGATTCATTTCCTACTTCTCTTTGGTCCTCCTCTCCTCTTTGGAGCACTTCCTCACAATTTTATAGGAAAAGAGGATCTGTGAAAGGCACCCTCTTTGGGGAGACTGGCTGTACTTGCCCAAGCAAGCAAGATGTTCTATTACTGATGTCATGAGCCTAGCCAGCAAATCATTGAATTATCTAAAGGCTGAACTCACTTTCTAATGACTTTGCAGTTGAATCTAAATGTGCTAACTAGTTTTCACCAGCTGTGCCATTATATAAATAGGATTTTGTGGGAGAGACTATGGGGTAAGAAGAAATGAAATTCTCCAGTCAGGATTTTGAGCATGGTATCACTTATCAGACTGTAAGCTTCCTCTAAACGTGGGCAGCTGGTATCAAAAACAAAGGTGCATTTGGCGTTTGAGTATTAAGTCTCACATTTCTTATTCGTGCCCTGTTTAATGGAATGTCCAATCCCCCTTTTTGTGAGTGGGCTGGTTTCCTTATATTATTTCTTTTTGCAGTAGACATATTTTGCTATCATGTTGTTTTTCGCTGGTTGTGTGAAATTTAATTCTCACACTAAGTCACATGCTGGAAGTTATACTCTGAGTGGGAACAAAATAAACATTAGTGAGAGACAGAACAAATACCCTCTATATTGCCCTTAGAGAAAATTAAAATTCAGTGGCCAAATTATAGGTTTTTCTGGAGGTTGGACACAATAGTTTCAGAGGCTCGGGGTGATGCATCTCTGCTCTATCATATTAACATGAGATCACGTCCAAATTGAAAAGGATGAAGCTGGTGGGAAAATAAAAGGAACATAAGAAGGGAAAAACAGTGAAAGATGTATCAGCCCACTATGCATCTGCTATATAATAATAGTTTCCTTTTGCAATAAGAAGTGGTGAGATAATTAGACACAATATATACTGTAGACGAAATAAATAATGACTAGGTAATCATGTGCTATGTAAATTAATAGCCAACTGCTTTTCCAAGCAACATTTACTTCAAATAGCCATACATAACAACAGGAAAACAATGTGCACTTTTTCTCTTCAGGTGTTTTCTCTGAGTGCAAGTAACATAGTATGAATGAATATTGGAGCCATGACTGCTTTCCACCACTACCCTTGTGGACAGTGTGCTCCCATATATTTCAGTCACTGGGGAAATATCTAAATGGGTGTGGGGATGTAGGTTTGTTAGGTGTCACGCATCCAAAATTATCCAGAATTTCTTTTGGCTCCTATCAGCCTGTTTAATTGCACCATCTCTTGCTGAACAGGTAAGAGTCAGCTTTAAATTATACAGCAGATGGAATCTATACTTACTTATAAATATACAGTATCCCATTGACTAGAAGAGCATTGGGCAAGCTTGTGCCTGCTCTTTCTTAATAACAGACAAGAAAAGACAGTCAATCATGAGAGTGATGGAAATCATATAGGAGATTAATTTAGCAGAAATAAATTTATTTATTCTAGCATTCTAGTATTATATTACACTAAAAGCATATTAAATTGATTATGCAATTTCACTTTCAGGGCAAAAGGCTTAAGAGTGGCTCAATATATGCTGTGTTTACTGGGGACAAGATTCCACATGGCTATGAATTCATCATGCTCCAAACAGTTGTTTTTAGTATAAGATTAAAAAAAATACCCACATATAAAATTCAAAATACGGACTAAATAGATTCTAAGACAGCAATCAAAGAGCAGGATCTTAAAATAGACCATTACAATATAAAATAAATTGTTCAGACAGAAATAAGATCCAAGATCAAGGTTTTGTGGTATATGCTTGGGTCTTCAATCAATTTCCATAGATTTTATTAGACTCCATTTAAAGAGATTTTGTTTCAATGAATGTTCAGGCTTGGTAGGGTTACCATAAGTTTGGCAAAAGGAGGGCATGTCCTTTTTATTCTCATATTCTCCATTTGGCAGGCATAACCTTAAAATCAAATATTGTCTGGCTTTTTGATTATCTTAATTAAATAATACCACAAGAGCTGAGTTGATACAAAGGGGGAAGGATATATCAGAGGAAAGTATGAAAAGCATTGTCATTAACTCCCTGGACTCTAGCTGGGATAACTTCATAATGCAGCTGGATAGCATAAGCCTAGGCCACCTCACACTTGAGTCACTGACAAACAGAATAATAGCAGAAGACAGTTTAAGGAGGGACCGCTCCATCAGCCGCAGGGACAGAAAACCAACAAAGAGAGTTGAGTTCCAAACCAGGAACCAAGACTACCCAGAACGTTTCACCTGTGGTTCCAAGAACCACTATAAAAGGGATTGTCCCAAAAATTTGAGGGGAAGGGATTACACCTACTGCAGGGAAAGGGAAAGCTGGAAGCCAGGGCTGCCCGATAGATCCTCACCTGAGAACAGATATAGACGCAGAGACTTCCCCCAACCCAAGGGACAGAAGGGGAAATAGAGACAGCTCCAGGGAGAGCCGATCAAGATCCATGTATGGGATCAGGGAAAACACACCCACACACCCACAAATGAGAGAGGGAGAAGCGTGACTCATTGATTCGGGAGCCACCAACTACACAACTCATGACAGAAAGATACTGACTTCATTTACAGAGGAGAACTACCACATTAAGGTAGCCAATCAGAACAAAGTTCTAGTGACAGGAAAAGGAAATACATTCATAAGCGGGATAGGCAAGATAGAGGGGGTATTGCTCATACCCAAAATACCCCACAATATTTTAGCAACGCGTAAACTCAGCAAAGACATGGGTATAGAGACCACCTTCAAGGAAGGAAAGGCCTACATGACCAAGGGCAGGAAAAGCATCGGCAACATAGTCATTGATGGAAGGCTAACATACCTCCATCCTAAAGGGAATAGCCAAACCCGTATAATTGCTCAACTAGAAAGCACAGAGAACAAGGCCGATGCCCAAGTCGAGATAGAGGGGGACAAGGAAGATGACGCCACTGAAGATAGACACAACTGCGACACAACACACAAAGGGAAGTTGCTAATTGGTAAGCCCATTCACGATGACTGTACCCACTTGCTACATAGAAAGTTGGGTCACGCCAGCTTCCCAGTCATCCAAAAAATGACAGAATGTACCAATGGTTTGAAAATAAAAGGCTGTAAAAACTACTTAGAGTGCTCCATATGGAAATCCTCTAAACTAAAGACCAAACCTAGACCTAGGAAGGCCACCTGCACCACCAACTCCCTCTTCCACCTGGTACACATGGACATTGTAGGCCCCATGAAGCCCTCTATAAAATACAAAAAGAGATACTTCCTGACAATAGTAAATGACTTCAGCTGCTATGGCTTTGTGTATACCATTAACCATAAGAGCGAGGTATTTCAAAAATTTAAGGAATTTTACAAGAGGATGGAGACACAACACAATACAAAAATAAGACAGATAATGATGGATAGGGGGTCTGAGTTCTTGTCAAGGGACTTCTCGAACTGGTTAAAGTTGCACGGGATAATACATTACACGACTTCTCCTTTTTCCGCGTTCCAGAACGGAGTCGTAGAAAAAAGGAACGGAGTCCTACAAACAATGGTGAGATGCACTCTAGAGGATGCAGGGTTGGGACAATCATTCTGGGCAGAAGCACTCACCTATTCAAATTACACACTGAATAGGCTCTGGTCTAGCGTAGTAGAAAGAACACCTTACGAGATGATGTACGACCGAAAGCCAAAAATTACACACTTGCACATATTTGGGGTCACGGCGGATGTACATATCCCCAGACAGCTGAGGCGAAAGGGAGACAAAGTCTCAAAGAAATTAAGGTTCATGGGGTATGAGCCCGGCACAAAAGGGTACAGATTCATCGACAGGGACAATAGGTTCATCATATCCAGGACCGCAGTGTTCCATGAGAACACCAACTGGTCAAAGATACATCTCAACGAGACACTCATCAGCCAGGAAGACATAGACAACATAAGGGATAAGGGCAAACATACCACATTAGAAACAGAAACACAGGAAAGGCACAAACCTAGACACCAAGAGATAGTCACCAAAGGGTGGAAGGAAGACCACCCCATCATTAAGGTAGATGCAGTCACAGAGAAAGAAGCCAAATACATGCACGACACTGACGCACGACCAAACAGGCCCATAAGACACAACAGAAATAGAATGCCAAAGAGATTTGAGGATTATGTTATGTCCATACACCCAAATAAAACGACCCCCAACTCATACTACAGAAGTAATCAGTCTGCCACAGGAAGAGAGAAATAGGTGGGAACAGGCCATGGAGAAGGAGATGGCTAGCCTAAGGGAACTAAATGTGTACACTCCCTCTAAGGTCCCATCCGACAAAACACTCATAGGTACAAAATGGGTTTTCAAAATTAAGGAACTCGAAGACAACAAGACTCTCTATAAGGCTAGGCTCGTGGCCCAGGGGTTTGCACAGAGGTATCCAGACGACTACACGGACACCTATTCACCAACAGTTAGGGCAGAAAGTGTCAAAAGTGCCCTAGTAATAGCATCCATCCTAGGCCTAGAAGTCTATCAATTTGACATTCAGACTGCCTACCTCCATGCAAAGCTAGACAGATCCAGACACATCGACATCAAGCACAAACACATCAGACAGTTATCGAACGTAGGTTTCATCAGAGCCGTACATTGCGAGACTTCTGAACAAATCGCAGACATTCTGACAAAACCATTACCAAATAAACAACACACATATCTGACATCAAAACTAGGAGTAGCTATGCATTGTACGGAGCCAACTCCAAACGTTAGACATTTAGAAGGGGATTTGTTATGAATAATTGCCTAATTTTGTATATGGCAGTGCATGGGTTAACCCCACCTTCCTCACCTAGCCCTTCCCTTGACCCCTCCTTACCTTGACTCCGCCTTCGTGGTACATAAGTCCGTGCACAGGGACTGACCAGCCCAGTTCCAGATGTGCACCTGAAAGGAGAAGACATGGTATAAATAAATGCCTTTGAATTAAAGACAAATTGTATTTGTGGTTATTGGGCAAGGTCCTTGGAAAAACAATTCACACTCAAGGTCACCCAGTTGGCTTTGGGCCAAAGCAGGACTAGAATTTAGTGTCCCATTTCTAGCCTAAAGCCTTAACCACTACATCAAATTTGCCCTCTTTATTCATTACATTTGTTCATTTAGGCATCCTCAAACATTTGAGAGTGCCTTCTGGGTTTTCTTTTCTATGTCAGATAAAGAATACTTTTTAATATCTCCCAACTATTCAGAATGGGTGTGTCTGCAGCATAGCAAAGGGTACTCATAAATTCCATATGTTCTAATGCATATAACAGATTCCCAGGCTAATCCAGGCACTCATTCGTGATCCAAGTAGCTTGAGATTTTGAGAGGTGAGTCAGTGTATCTATGTTTTCAATATCATAAAACATTACAAATCACACGATCATTCACAATTAACTAAAATAACATTGGTAGCTCAGTTTTGGTAAAAAGAAAAAATGTAGTCTATTATCTCAATTAAACATTTGCCTTATTTATTAATAGTTAAGTGAGATTTACACACGCTTCCTTCCAGCATTAAATTTATTCTCAGGCAGCAATTCCATTAAAAAGAAATTCAGAGTCTCTTTTTGGCTTTTGTCTGCATCTCAATTTCTCATCTTTCTTAGATGAGAGTGCTTTAATTCACAATCCCTTTTAAAAGTAATGAATTAGTCTATGTCATCAAACCTATGAAACTAGAATCTAAATCTTGCGATGTGACTCAAGTACAAAAACATCTTTACAGGATAGAAAATCACTTTTGAAAAGCAAAAAAAAAAAAAAAGCAAGAGAAAAAAAGCCTTTATCAAAAAATATATTACTCTTTTTAAGAAAAGTGAGGGACAATTGAGGGTATGTATAGTGTGCAATGGCAGGAAAAAAAATGCTCTAAGTGTTTTGCCTCCAAGTAAATCCTAGTTCAGTCTAAATGTCAGTGTTCATGAATGTGTCTGTCTGGATTCTTGTTAATTATGCATAACAAGGTCAGTATTTGGCACCCAGATGAGAAAATGTGGCCAAAGATGTTTTGTGCAGCTGTCAAATGTTCTTTAGCTGATTGGTAGAATAATTAGATACAAAGGGTGAATAGGAAACTCAAAGATCTCTGGAATGTGCAACCACTCCATTTAACTACCTATCTTACTCTTCAGACTACTAACACAGCAGATGCCTCTGACCCCAATGCATCCATATAGGTCTCTAGACAGATACAGTAGGGAATGTTTGTACAAATGGGACTTTTTGGAAATTGGCCTCTTTAGGTGAAGTGGAGCACATAGGCACATCATAATCTGCCCTTTTCATAATGTTACAATGTTTGCAACACAAACACGATAGAATAAGAAAAAAATTGCTTTCAAACAGCATGAATAACAGTAAAGCTATTAGAAAATATGAAAATATTGGAATTCTTTTTCTTTTCTTTTTTTCTTTCTTTCTTTTTTTTTTTTTTTGACTTTCTGTTTTGTCCAAAAATCAACCAGGGTATAATTTCCATGCACTTCTACTACAACATTTTACTTTCTGCAAAGCCACCTGTATCAGGCACATTTTTCAGGAATTAATATTATTTAATCATAGCTCTGAGGCTTCATTGTTTTTTCAAGTGGCAAGTCTATTAATAATGCTTTACTTTGTACTGCTGCTGAATTTTTATCCTAGGCACTTCGGTCTTTGGAATGTATTCCTACAATTACACAGTATAACAATTCAAATGGATCTTGGAGATCATCTAGGCCAGGGGTCCCCAATCCCGGTCTATGGACCGGGACCAGTCCATGGTCTGATATGAATCAGGCCACACAATCGACAGGTAAATGAGCAAAGCTTCATCTATACATGCACAGGATGTAAGTTGACCACAAAACCATATCCGCTCCGGTCTGTAGAAAAATTGTCATCCATGAAACTGGTCCCTGCTGCCAGAAAGGTTGGGGATCCCTGATCTAGTCCAACTCTCTGCTCACTGCACAAATCCACTACTATTCACCCTGACAGATGGCCATGCAAAAGACAGCCTTTCCACTATAGAATATTTCTGTTAGGAAATCGCATCTCATGTCCATCCAAAATCTATTTCTTTCTTGTCTTGGAACAGTTCTGTCTTGTTTTCATAATATAGTGTACAAGACACTAATAGTGCATTCCCAGTTAGGATATCCAGGTAAGGAATGTTTAGATAGCATTAAAAAGCCCTAATAAAACTAGGAAGAACATACTCTACACCAGGATGAGACCCTGGTAAAAATCTGCACTATAGGACTGACATGTTATCCTGCCATTCCCATCAATGATATCTGAATATGCTTTGGAATTATTTGATTAGACAGCTGTTCATTTGCCTGGTAATTTAGATCCTTGCCTTATGCTCTGCCAACTCTCTGTGTTATGAAAATTATAATTTTGGCTACTTAAAGTATACTTAACCTATGTGTATGTTGCTCTAGGCCCAGCGCAGTTGGGATGGGTCACAACCATTGGGTATTGGATTCAGAACCACACAATTAGAATATTTATCAAATCAAATCTTTATTATTATTCATTTAAAGCTTTATTTCAAAGCAATATAATAAAATAACTTATTGTAACATGAAATAGTAATCAAATAATATTCAGGAATATAATATAATTCAGGAAAACAAATAATGAATATTCAAGAATAAAATAAAGCCCAAAAAAAAAAATCTTAAACCTCTTCTGCCAGGAAAGGAATCCCAAAGAGATGAGAGTGAGCAGATGCCTTCAAAGCTGAAACATGTACCACCCTCCTGGTTAAGAACTGCATCAATATTATGTCCTGTGGAGGTTTCAGACTAGCTAATATAGGGTCTGAAGCATAATTAAGGCCACCTGCTTTTGCATGTTTTTCCATCTACATGATTTTACTAAGGAGTAGGATACAAGTTTGTCTTATTTTGGAATGAGTTACTGTCCTGAGAACCTCAAAGTTCATGGTTGACGATTCTGCCAAGAATGAAACCATCAAGGTCAAAGAGTCTTTGTTTATATCATGTGCTGATATGGCTGTCTCAAACTTAAGGAGTATCTGTTTTCAATGTTAAATGGGTTAAATACGAGAAAGATAATTCTACTTTATACCAGTATCTCACCAAAGACATGGCAAAACATAGTATGACCCAAGTATGGACCTTTAGTGATTAAAATAAATGCTTCCTTAGTACTGCACTGTAATACTGAAGCATTATATGAAAATATAATATCATGTAGTTATACATATCATGCACTTAAAGAAAAGTGGTACGTACCACTTTTCAATTTCTTCTCACCAATTTTTTGGTAGAATACCAGCACTACAATGCGTAATATTTTATATTACGCATGGATATTTAATAATATCCAAACTACATAGTCTAGAGCTGCTAATTTATCAGTGTCAGAGTTAGCTGAATTGTTTTTTCCACATTCAGACTGTTTTAGGAAGAATTTATTTATGATGTCCTATAGATGGATGGTCGTATGTACACTTGAGTTGGACCCTTTTCTTCCTTTCATCCTATCAACCAAAACTTCTTTTCCAAATTTACAGCATGTCTCTTCACTGTTCACTTAAAAAAGGTAGTTCTTTATTATGATCTACCTCATGCAGCCTCTTCATGGATTAATGCCTTGTGGTGGGGAAAGGGCTTGCATAGCTCAATGAAGCTATGAGCTATGCTGTGCAGGGCCAGCCAAGACAGACAGGTCATAGCAGAGAGTTCTTACAAAATGTGATCCACTAGAGAAAGAAATGGCAACCCACTCCAGTATCTTTGCCATGAAAACACCATGGACAGTACCAAAAGGGAAAAAGATATGACGCCAGAAGATGAGCCTCTCAGATCAAGAGGTGTCCGATATGCTACTGGGGAAGAGCAGAGGGATAGTACTAGTAGCACCAGAAAGAGTGAAGCGACTGGGCCAAAGCTGAAAGGACGCTCAGCTGTGGATGCATCTGGTGGTGAAAAGAAAGTCCGATACTGTAAAGATTTTTTTCCATAGGAACCTGGAATGTAAGATTCATGAATTAAGGCTGGACGTGGTCAAACAAGAGATGACAAGACTGAACATCGACATCTTAGCAAACTAAAATGGACAGGAATGGGTGAATTTAATTCAGATAACCATCAGGTATGCTACTGCAGGCAAGAATCCCTCAGAAGAAATGGAGTAGCCTTCATAATCAATAAAAGAGTAGGAACTATGGATGGAGGTTCGCAACATTGTACAAGCGGTAGCAACTAAAACCACCCCAAAGAAAAAGAAATGCAAGAAAGCAAAATGGCTGTCTGAGGAAGCTTTGCAAATAGCTGAGGAAAGAAGGGAAGTGAAAGGCAAGGGAGAAAGAGAAAGATACACGCAATTGAATGCAGAATTCCAGAGAATAGCTAGAAGAGATAAGAATACCTTCTTAAATGAACGGTGTAAAGAAATAGAAGAAAACAATAGAATAGGGAGGACCAGAGATCTCTTCAAGAAAATTGGAGATATGAAGGGAACATTTCATGCAAAGATGGGCATGATAAAGAACCAAAATGGCAGGGATCTAACAAAGGCAGAAGAGATTAAGAAGAGGTGGCAAAATTACACAGAAGAACTAAACAAGAACGAGTTTAACATCCCTGATAACCACGATGGGATGGTCACTGATCTTGAGTCAGACATCCTAGAATATGAAGTCAAATGGGCCTTAGGAAATCTGAGCAACAAAGCTAGTGGAGGTAACGGTATTCCAGCTGAGCTATTCAAAATCTTAAAAGATGATCAGTAAAAGTGCTACACTCAATTTGTCAGCAAATTTGGAAAACTCAACAGTGGCCACAGGATTGGAAAAGGTCAGTTTACATTCCAATTACAAAGAAAGGCAATGCCAAAGAATGTTCAAACTATTGCACCATTGCACTCATTTCACATGCTAGTAA